AAAAAAAAAAAAAAAATACATGAAAAAGCTTAGGAATAATAACATCTTTATTGATTGAAGATACTCATCTATCTACATATCTTGTCCAACATAAATTATTGTTGCATCTATTAAAATTGTCATACATGCATTATCTTCGTTCCCAGATTTTCAAGACTATCATAAATGTGAAAATTTAATGAGTATAGTTTTAATGAATGATTCATATTTAAATTAAATCCACTATTTATTTTTATTTAATTAATTTTAATTGTAACTATTTTCTAATAAGTACACGTATTATAAAATTCAAGATTTAAAATAGAATTTTAGTTATTTTATTTTATTTCTGTAATTAATCTATTTTTGCTTATATTACAATCCAGTAAATGCTATTTTAATTCATGTAACACATTATTATAAAAAAACATTTATACTATACATACTATTAAGAGGTAAACATAAATCAGATTATGCATATTGTTTTAGTGAATAATTTAAGCAAATATTTATGTTAAGATCATATCTTTTTTACTTAACAAATAACTTTTTACCATAAAAAGTTGACATTTTGTATGTTGAATAATTATATTTGATTCAATCAAGCTTAAACATATGCATGTTCACTAAATTGTTCATGTTTAATTGTTTTAATATTATAACTAAAAATTTGTATGGTAAACAATATAATATTTAGAAATTAAAGCTGATACTTTTAGTGATGCATTATATATTTCACACTTATGAAATATCATATATTTTACTTAAGATCTTAAAATAATTTTTTCTCTTACATTTTAAAACTGCCTTTAAAATAACCAAATCGATAATAACATCTTTATTGATTGAAGATACTCATCTATCTACATATCTTGTCCAACATAAATTATTGTTGCATCTCCTAAAATTGTCATACATGCATTATCTTCGTTCTCAGATTTTCAAGACTATCCTAAATGTGAAAATTTAATGAGTATAGTTTTAATGAATGATTCATATTTAAATTAAATCCACTATTTATTTTTATTTAATTAATTTTAATTGTAACTATTTTCTAATAAGTACACGTATTATAAAATTCAAGATTTAAAATAGAATTTTAGTTATTTTATTTTATTTCTGTAATTAATCTATTTTTGTTTATATTACAATTCAGTAAA